CCCCCAAGACCGCAGCCCCCGCCGCCGCCTCCGCTGCTGGGTACCGTGTCGTCGCCTAGCTCGTCGCCCACCCACCTGTGGACAGGCGAGGTGAGCGCGGCTCCACCCCCAACCCGCGTCCGGCACCGGAGGAGGTCCCCGGAGCAGAGCCGCCCCTCCCCGGAGAAGAGGAGCCCGAGCGCCCCGGTTTGCAAAGCGGGTACGTATCGGGGCAGGGAGGCGAAGGCAGGAATGGGTCCAGGGGCTCCGCGTCGGGACTGCGGTGCTACAGCGGAGCCCGGGGCGGGGGCGGGGCAGGGGGCGGGGTGGGTGACCCCACTCGGGGAGTTTGGCCTCGCCTTTGCCGGGTGCGGGGTGCCCAAGCCGCCGCCCTTTGCCGGCCTCATTCATCCCTCCTCCGGTCCAGCGCGGGTCCCGGGCGGTGGAGGTGGCAGCTGCTAACCTTGTATGTGTTAATGATAAACCTGGGGTTCTCTTTTCCGCTGGTTACTGCTTATCCTCCCTTGAGGGTGAGGCTAGAAATGGTTTGTCACTTTGTTTTAATGACGTGATTAACGCTAGCATAGAGGATGAATGCTGCTAAGTATTTCTGTTGAACAAAACAGTTTCAGATCGGGAAATTGCAGTCATTTGAACAAGGGTCGATGGATCACTGAAGAGCCGTGAGGCTGGAAGCGTTTTTTTGCATTTCTTAAGACTTGATAAATGGATAGCAAGAAGTGACAAGCAGGATTCTTTTGGAAGGCTTATGGATTTTGTCTTGAGAATCTGGGTGTATTTCTGATACGTTGATTTTGCGTTTTGGATTTACAAAACAAAATTCATCGTTTCTCTCCCTCTGTTATTGTTTGGTGGAACTAAAATTTGTTATTCTTACATATCTGACAGCTTTCTTGGGAAATGTCCTGAGTGAAGCTGTTCGTTTCTAAGTAGTCATTCAAAAAGAGTAGTTCAAAAGAAAAGCAAAGTGTGGAAAATGGAAAGGAATAAAATCATTTGGCTGCCTTTCCATCAGAACCTAGTGAAAAAAGACACTTTTTTCACTAAAAATGGTGGTTTTTTAGTTACGAAGTAATACATGTGCCAACATATATACCTTTGTCTTTATCTGTTTGGGGGAATTTCTGTAGAATCTTATAGGAAGAATGGTTGGGAATTTCAGGAGACTTAGTACAGTACTTTCTAACCAAGTGTCAGATGAAGTGGTTTCAGAAGTGGAAAGAGTAGGATGAATCTGTTTTATATAAAAGGTTTTAGATAATAGTTTTTGGGGAGAATTGCTCTAGAAAATGATCAACAGTAGAAACAGAGCCCTTTTTAAACCTTTTGAGAATGCAAATTGCTTTTAAAAAACTTTGTTGAATGAGAGTACTAGGATTTTCTGCCTCTCCCTTCTTATTGAACCTCCTACTGAGTGATTTTCATACAGATTCTCATTTTATCCTTCACCATAGCCTTTGGATAGGTTAAGTAACAAGTGGCAGAGTTGGTACTTGAACTCTGGTTGGTTGTATTTCAAAGACCAAGTCTTCAGATTTTATTAAGGAAGTAGTTTCATGAAACCCGAGAAATATATGGCACACTGAATTACATATACTTAGTTTTGTGGCAGTTCTTATCTGGTGAACAGGATTGCTTCAGTTTGCCTTTAGCCTTCTGGAGCCAGAATAGCGCATCAGGTGGAAGGGAAAGGGCTACTTAAGTAGGCATTAAGGTGGAGAAAGGACCTGGAGCCCCCAGTCTGGTAACAGAATCGGGATATCCTGTCAGCTATTTGATACTCAAAGCAGAGAAGCAGCCTGAGGAGACGTGGGCTAAATTCAATATTGGTGAAGTTGGAGGAAGGTGCTTTTTTCATCTTGTTTCTGGGAGGCTGTTTCCTGGGATCTCAGGCTCCTAGTGTGCCCATTCCATTTTGCATGTTTTCCAAAGCTTCATTCCCCCAGATGTGTCATATAGAATATTTATGCTATAAAATGAATTATCATGATTAACCCTCCCCCCATGAAAACGTACTCTCCTGGTGTGGCACTCTAAGGGATATTGCTTGTTCTTAACTCTTACTCAAATGTAAATGTCTGATAGCTTCTTTCCTGGAATATATTTTTGTTTCACCCTAAGGATCATCTGTGCGGAGTGGGAAACATTGGAAAAATGTTTAATTTTAATTAATTTTTTAATTCTTAGCACATGCTATGATAAATAATTTGCTGTTTTGTATGACTAACTCTGGAAGAGTCTTTAGTTACTGGAGTCTTTTTGATTAAAGGGCAGTTATCAGTTTGCAAGCTCAATGGAATGTGAAAGTTCTTACTTCAGAAGGAAAGGGTCTATTTCATATAGTTCTTTAAACCTTATGTGACTCAACTTCCAGATCAACCTGCTGGCTTCTAGGTGTCTTATTAGATGAGTTGGATGTCATAATTTTTGTTAGGGCTCCCTGAGTCCCTAAGTTGAAGATCTTACTATGTGTATGTACCTTGTTGCCTCATTCTTCTGGGGTTTGAGCTAATCATTCTCTAATCTAGAACTTCCTTCTCTTTGCTATGATAAGGTAATCTAAGCATCCACCCCTGACAGATATTTTAAACATTCCATTGTCAGTGCTGACTTCTCCATTGCAAAGTGGTTTGTCATTAGGAACCCAGATATGCTTAGTGAAGGTAACTAGGCAGCAGCGTTAACTGTGGTTTGTTTTATGCCTTCCCTTCTTTTGCCTGACTTAGTCTTATTCAAATTTCAAATTCATATTTTTAAAATAAAGAGGTGGCATAATAGGAGAGTAGGCTTTGGGTGAACAGTCTGGGTTTAATACTGTGTTCTATCACTTACAAGCCAAGTGATATAGGGAAGTTAAGAACTTTGTAACCCTAAACATTCTTATCTGTAAAATTGGTGATGATATCTATTTCACATGATGCTAGGGATAAATGAAAGAAAAACAGCATAGTAGCTCAGAAGTTTTTGTGTATCATATTTGTTTTGCTTTTATTTTTAGTGGCTGTAACAAATTGCCAATATAGTCTCAGTTTTCATAGTTGTATGATTTTTTAAAGTTTTTTTTGATATAATGCATATGTGGGATACAGTGTGATGTTTTAATATATGTATACATTGTGGAATTATCAGATTAGGCTAATTAATTCATCTGTCACCTCAAATACTTAGGGTTATTTGTGGTGAGAACATTTAAAATCCATTCTTTTATATTTGTGTATTTTAAAATACATAATCCAGTAGACTCAAGTTGAAAATCTGCCTATAATTTTTGACTCCTCCAAAACTTGACTGAAAGCCTGTAGTTGACTGGAAATTTCATTTAAAACATAGTGAATTAACACATTTTGTGTGTTATATTTATTTATATGGTGAAAAATACATGAGAACCTCAAGATATTACTTTTTACTGCTCCCTGCAATTTACCAAAAGTTGAACTGCTCAGATGTAGAGGATCAGTGTCAGAGTGTGTTTACTCAAAACACTTGAGCTCACCGAAATAGCAACAGGATGTAGCTATGAAATTATTACAGTAGTACAGTAATACTGAATTTAATTTCATGCAGTTATGATTTAATACTGCATCCTTACCTTTGTTTACATTTCTCTTCACTGAGAATGGGGCCATATTTACTCTGTATTTGTGTACTAATTTTTGGTAAATGTTTTTAACTTTTTGTAATAGGCTTATGAATATTATATGGTAGCAGTGATAAAAATAGACTACCTATAGGTAATAGTAAAGTATATGGGGACATCTGTATTGTGTGCATTTGTGACATATCTAATGTTTAAACTTTTTTTTTTTGTATTTCTAGGCTATGCAGTCTTTCTGTGAATTGTTTTCAAATTGTTCTAGAATCCTTCAAAAATCATTTTATTTCACACCTGAGCAGTTCAAATCTGTGTTTTTCAGGGGTCAGTTGTACAGTATTATTAACTGTAGTCACCCTCATACCTTATACTATGAATCTCTTCCACACAGTCATTCCTGACTTGTGCTCTTTATAATGAACTCCTAAGTGTAAATGTATTTTCCTGAGCTCTGTGACTCATTCTAGGAAATTGCCAAACCTTGGGAAGGGATCATGGGAACCTCTGATTTATAGCTGTTTGGTCAGAAGTAAAGGTGGCCTAGGACTTGTAGTATCTGTTGGGGGGCAGTTTTATGGGACTAAGTCTTTAAGGAATGGAGTCTGTGCTATCTCTGTCTAGTTAGGATCAGAATTGAATTGTTTCTTGAACATCCATTTGGTGTCCAGAGAGAGAGAATTGCTGGTTTTCCTGTTGGAAAATGCCCCAGGGTATTTGTTTAAAAATGCATATTTTCAGGCCCTACTGTGGGCCTTGCAAATGCCTACCCATTCCCTGCACCCCTTCTCTCAATTTTGCTGTACTCTAAATTGAAAAATAGTCACTAGAAGTCCCCAAAGAAAATAACTAGAAGACTTATTTAAAAAGAAAAGTAATTAGCACAGTATTTGTTATTTTTGTGGTGCAGCTGGGTATATTGATAGCAAGATGTGTTCTTGGGAAGTTTTTCCCTTACTCTGCATATATTAAGTTGTGTATGAATTTGATGGTTTATTGGGGTTGGGAGAATGCTAAGAACAGCAATAAAAGATGCACTTCTCTGGACTATCAGGCACAGTTAGTAAGTAGGGTACTAGAACTTTGTATTTGTGGCATTTTGATGTCTGTTTTCTAGCACTTTATAAAGTACAGAACTCTAAAAATTCAGTGCTCTAACTTAATTTGGAGGGCTGCTGCTAATTTCACACTTTAAGGGAATTCTTTTGGCTTGTGATGTCTGTATTTTACAATTGAGGTTGATGCATTATAGAGGTTTACTGTTAGGTCTCCATTTTGGCTAATAGACTTTTCACTTTATTAAGTTCAGTTCTGTAAGTTTGATTGAACTACCTTATATGTTACTGATTAGGCAGTACCAAAGGTATTTTTAAAAAACACAGGAAACTCCAAAGACTCAAACTAGCCATGTAAGACAGGTACATAGTATATTACATGATGAGTGCTGAGGGCTCATAGTGAATAATTTTACAGGAATGGGTATAGAAGTTTTCTGACAAGATGGCTTTTGATTTGAGTTGGAAAGGGAGGAACAGAACTTTGCAGTGCAAAGTTGAAAATGCACATGTCATGTTTAGTCCTGTATGGCTTAAGGGTAGAAAGAAGAGCCA